GCTTTGACCAGAAACCGTCCCACCAGAAAGCGTCCGATCGGAAACCGTCCGACCAGAAAGTCTCCGACGTCCTTCAAGTGCCGGGTGGTGGTGTGGTTGAATCTGCCAGCGTGATTGGACCCGCCCGCGTAGTTGAACCGGAAGGACAGGTCGGCGAGGTCGGAGGGCTCTCGCATCCCCCGTTACACGTTGGGTCAGCGCCTAAGAGCCTCGCCAGTGACACCCAGCCACCCGCTCTGGATCCGACGACCAGGAAGGCTTTGCCTGGAATCGAACCAGTGGGCGTCGTGTTTGCGCAGGAGCGGTCGGCTGCTCGCAAGGCAGTCGCAAAGAATGCAGCAGCTGGAAAGAGTGCGGAAACTGGAAAAGATGCGGCGGTGAAGGAATTGGATGGCGACAAGGCAGACCTTGGTGGGGGAGGGACCAACGTGCGCGACCGCTCCGGTGACCGTCGACTGTCGAAGCGGGCCGTCCAGGATCAAGTCCCGAACGAGAACAAGTTGACAGCGGAAGGTCCTGCTTTGAGGCCGGATTCCGTGGGGGTGCGTCAGCGGGTGGTCTCTTTTGGGGCTCCGAATGTGGAAGCCTCTCAGACGGAGGAAGGCTCACGAACCCAGGAAGCCCGAGCAAGCCTCTTGGTGCCCTTCCCCGACGTGGACGACGCGATGGACATGGACGAGACGGGGGTCGCCCGCGCGGTCTTCCTTCCCGGCGTCGGGGAGACTCGTGACGGCGGGGAATCCGGAGTGCAGCTAGAGGATCTAGTCCCAGTGGACCTAGCCCCAGTACATTTCCCCCCAGAGAACCAAGCCCCAGAGGACCAAGTCCCGGGAAAGCATCCAGATGCAGGTCTGCGCAGCAAGGCGGTTTTGGACGTCTGCGAAAAAACTACATTGGCTGACACCTCCACCGGCGACGGCGGCTCGCCCGCACTCAAGCCGGACCTGGGGCACTTAGGGCTGGTCGACGCCCCCATCTATGTCGTGCCTGAGCCGCGGCGGCGCGGCGCATTCCCCTCAGAAGCCGCTCCTGACCGGGTCGAGGCCGACACCGGAAGAAAACGCTGTAAGTACACACACACGGAGACAGGCGGGGGGGATGTGTCTCTTGCGGTAGCGGTGGTATGTAGTGAGATGCACCAAGCAGCGGACGTGCTGGTGGAACGGATGCAGAGTCTCGAAGAACAGATCTCACTTTTCGAGGACACGGCCGGGCCGCTGCAACAGACACAGCACGTGTTGACGCCCGCATTCTACGATCCGTAAGACGTCGCAGCCCGTCTAGCACGCTCGCTCCCAGCACACTCTCTAGACCCAGTAGCACACACACACACCAGATAGCGCTCTGGGTGGCACCCCGGGCAGCACACTTGGTAGTATTTCGGGCGATACACAGCGGGTCACAAGAGTCGGCGTGTTGCAAAAAAAAAACACTCTTTAGGTTCACACGTGCTTCGAACCCGTTCTGGAGCTTAGAGGACGACGCTCTCGGTTGCACAGGGACTGTGCCGGAGGTGAGCACGGACCTATTAGAAACGAAGCTGTTCAGTCGGTCCAGTTGTTCGCAGCTTTCGCGCGAGGGGGTGGTCGGCGCGACAGTTCGCTAGAAGGAACGCACACATCCCAGAAACTGCGGGGGGCGAGGGCTGGAACGAGGGGGACGGACTGGAGGGGGTCGAAAGAAAGGGTCAGAGCCAGTGTCAGAGCCAGGGCCAGCGTCAGAGCCAGGGCCAGGGTCGGAGCGAGAAAGGGATGGCCGTGTGCGCGACGGCGTCGCGGGACTCTAAAAAATTCTTTCTGAACGAATAATAGATCAACCGCCAAACATCATGGAAGCCACTAAGATCCCTTCTTTCATCAGTACTCAAGGCCATGCGACCATTGTCTCTCAGTCGGAGACGGTGACAACTGGTTCTGCTACTCAGACTGTGACTCGTAAGAGCTCGGGCGAGGGCGTGCTCAACTCAGTGAGGAATGTGGTATCGGGGGCGATTAACGGAGCCATTGCGGGCGCCCAAGGCGGCTACGTACAGCAGCAAGCCATGACTACCAGCTACCAGCAGCCGACTACCAATTACGCACAGCGACCCGCGCAGTCGACCACGTCCTACACGCAACAGTCGACGATGCAGCTGCCGACCATGCAGCAGTCGACTATGCAGCAGCAGCCGAAGAGCTATACTCAGCAGCCGACTACTACTAGCTACACTCAGCAGCCGACTACTAGCTACACTCAGCAGCCGACTACTAGCTACACTCAGCAGCCGACTACTAGCTACACTCAGCAGCAGAGTACTACGAGCTACACTCAGCAGCCGACTACTAGCTACACACAAAACACTGCCAACTACCAACAGACGACGGGGACTAGTTACACTAGCCAGTCGTCTGCTGTGCCGCCCACGCCATCCAGCTACATTCAGCAGTCCACTCAGCAGCAGACTCAGTCGAATAACACTCTGCAGAGGCAAAGCAGCTACACGCACCAGCAGCCGACTATCACACAGCAGACAAGCTACAACCAGTCTTATAGCGGGTACACTCCGACTCAGCAGCAGACTACTGCTGTCCAGAGCAGCGCTACCTTCGGCACGGCGGGAACCCAGTCTATGGGCCAATCTACGAGCGACGTAAATCGGAAGTCTTCTGTAGTCCGGAAGGAGTACGGCGACCAGCGTTTGATCTCGGTCACGGAACACGTTGACGAATCTCGGTCTCATGTAATCGGCGAACGCGTGGTGGAACACGCTGTGCAGATCCCTCGCCGGATTGTGCGTGAGGAAGTGATTGAGAAGGTGATTGTTGTACCTGAGAAGGTGGTAACTGAAGAGGTGGTAAACGACTCCCACATGGTGAAGGAGAAAATTATTGAGATCGCGAAGCCCGTAATTGTGGAGAAGGTGATCGAGGTACCTGAAATTGAGTATGTGGAGAAGATTGTGGAAGTACCCCACAAGGTTATTGAGGAGAAGTGGGTGGAGAAGCAGGTGGGACCGCCCCAGGTGATCACGGAGGAAGTTAAGGTGCGCAAGCCCCGCGAAGTGCGCGTGGAAGTGCCCGAATACACTTACCGGGATGTGCCTGTTGACCGGGTGGTCGAGGTTGTGGAATGGGTGGATGAGGTTGTGGTTACGGAGAAGAAGGTGCAGAAGGAGATCATCGTCGATGTGCCTGAGGAGAAGATTGTGGAGGTGCCGAAGGTTATATCTCGCAAGCTACCAGTACCCGTAACCGTGGAGGCCGATTACGAATTCCGTCTCCCTCAATTGCGCCCGGTCTACTCCAAGAAAGCCTACCCCGTTTATATTCCCAGGTTCATCGAAGTGCCCGTGCCCGCTGAGATGCTCTCCGCCAACATGACAAACGCCAGCCTGTCCCAACTGGAGACAGTAAACACCTTCTCTAAGAACGCCGTCAGTCTGTGCGACGTGGAAACGACCGCTGCCGAAATCATGAGGGCCAACGTACAGAAGGAACTCTCCAACGTGGACGCGCAAGCGGCCATCCAGCAAGCCTGGAACTCTGGTGCGCTCCGGCTCACCGCCGCCTAAATCACCCCCTGAATCGCCTATGCCCGGACTCGCCTGTGAGGCCTTATCAACAACGTAGAATCAAGCACCCTGGGTCCACCGCTATTCTAGGCTTGTAACCTAGGTATTGTAACCTAGGCTTTTGACCTGGGATCATGACCTTGAAACACCAGTTGTTGACCGACGACCGACGACCGGACTATTGAGCAGTGGTGGTTCGAGAGCAGCGAACTTCGAGACAACTTGAGTCAGCATCTACGCATCAGGAGCCAACGAACGCCCAGCGGATAGCTTCGCTTGTTATCAAGATGGTATGTCGAGAAGCTCTGACATGACAGCATGGCTCACCACGAATCAACTTGATGTTT